CCTGGCGTTTACGCATCCTCACTGTCTGTTCTGTGCGTGCTCCATGGACTCACGGGCGCTCTGCCCTGTCACCTGGCCGGGCTGTAGGGGCGCTCGGGCTCTTGGCCGCCTGGCTGGCACCATGTTTTTCAGCAAAGCTGTGCTTTCTTGCTTGGAGTATGTCGTCATATTTTGTGTATCTCCATCTTTCTTAAATAACTCGTTACTATTTTTATTGGAATACTTCTTTGTGTATTTTGTATTTTAAATGTTTTTTTACATGTTAAATTTAAAATCACCTACTTTTCCAAGCTGTATAAAGTGTACTCACCTTTTAGCATCTTAGGTTAATTTGTTGGATTTTCTTTAAACGGATCATATGTATTATTTCATTAGACATTAACCAAACTCAGAGTCTTGGTTTTTCTTTTTTAAATATAAACAAGGAATATTTATTACCCATTTTGCTGTTTGTGCATATGCATACAGTATCTAAAACATTTTTAAATCTCTTGGTTAATTTATTGTTAAAAATGCTCTTATCATTTTGTTTTCATGTTTGTTAATTTCATACTGTGAAGTAATGGAACAAAACAGAGAAAATGCATTTCCAGTTTGACTTGGTGTGTGTGAAAAAATGAGCAGAGTAGTCAACTTTGACCAAATCGTCCTTAGGTTTTTGCCATTTGTAATTGAGGAGAGTTAGATTTTTTTCTTTTTCAATAGTTAGCCAAAATATGCTCAATGATGTATGTTTTAATAAGGTTCAGATTTTTTCAGTAGTTTCTTAGTTGACTGCTGTATTGGTCCACTAAAATACAGACTCAACAGGAGCATGAACTTCCGTCCACTTTCTGCAGCCACACTCTGGCGCCCAGCAGGGTGCCTGGGACAGGGCAGGCCTGGGACAGGGCAGGCGGGGACAGGGCAGGCACAGTGTGCATTCCTACTGAATCATCCATCCACCCCTTAGTCCTGTGCTCTAACTTACCGCGGATCACCCTGGAAAGTGCCCACGGGCCGAGGCAGAATCACGTTCTAGAAGTGGCCTTGGAGTGAAAATGGAGGTGTGTTTTAAGAGACGCTCTTAGACTGTTGTTGTGGGTCTAGTTCCTCTTCTTGTTTGGAACTTCAGAGAAGGCTTTCTGGTGGAGTGCTGTCGTACGTGGGGTAGGTGTTTAGAGAGATTTGTCCCTGTGCTTTTAGAGGTGCTCGCAGTTATTTGTGGTTACCTAGTGGGAAGAAAAGGGGCCCTGGCAGTACAGTGACTTAAGCGCTCGGCTGATAACTGAAAGGTTGGTGGTTCAAACCGGTCAGCATCTCCACGATCTGCTCCCATAAAGATTACCAAAAACCAAACCAAACCCGTTGCCATCGAGTCGATTCCAACTCTTAGCGACCCTGTAGGGCAGAGTAGAACTGCCCCGTAGGGTTTCCAAGGCTGTAATCTTTACGGAAGCAGACGGCCACATCTTTCTCCCGCTGGCCTTGCGGTTAGCGGCCAGTGTCCTAACTACTGTGCCAGCACGGCTGCTTTGCCTATAAAGATCACAGTGTAGGAAACCCCGTGGGGCAGTTCTGCTCCGTCACATGGGGCCCCTGGGGGTCAGAGTCGACTCGAGAGCACACAGCAACAGCAGTAATGGAAGAAAGAATACCTACTGAGGAGGGGAGGAGAATTTGGAATTTTTGTTTTAGGCAATAATTTATATGCTTGTTGCTGCCTATAAGGTGATGGTTGTGCATTTAATAAAATAAGAGGGAAATGGACAAGAAGAAAGATTTCAGTTATTTACACATTAGCTGCGCCCACCTCCCGTCTCCCCACCTTTCCCAAATCAAACCAAACACCATTTTATCTCCCAAGTGTGACTGCCGCATTTGGGTTATTAAAAACGTACAGAAGCTGTATTTATGGTTTTCTGTTATTATTGTGAAGTGGTAAGAAAGAGACTGGGAAAGAAGGTGATCTCTAATCCATCTGTCGATAGATTTCCGTTGTTACAGTGAGGTGGTGAGAATGGGAAGGAAGTTTGTGTTCTCCTTTCTCTGTATACTTCTCTGTCCGCTGATGTGAAGGGTGATGTAGGAGGGTGTCTGTCTTAATTAGATGGCTCATAAGGTAGCTTTCAGAAGCGTTCAAAATTCAGAAGAATATTAATGTGAAGTTTTCTTTCACTCTTCGCGGATGTTTTTCATGTTTTTGTGTTTTTAACTTTATATTCAAGGAATTGTTTTTTTACACATGATCACTTATTTGCTCCTTTTACTTTCTTTATAATTTGTGTAATTTCTGTGTATTACATCATTTTCTTCATTTTTAATCACTCATTATTCTCTGTTTATTCGTTCAGTCTTTATTGGGCAGAACCAGCCACCGCTGAGTGTGAGGATAAAGACATTTACAAAACTCAGCCATCACGGAGCTCAGGGGAGGCGGGAGAGACAAGTAAATGGCAATCATAATAAAACAGGCTTCGTAACCCAGGGTTCTGTGGGAGGACATACGAGGGACACAGAATAGCTCTTAACCAGGGCGTGTGTTTGTTTGAAACAGAGCAGAACAGTCAGCATTGCTGGGGGCCTAGACTCAGCAAGTCTGGACGGGAACTGTGTTCAGTAAACCCCAGATGACTCTGACGCCGCATCTTTGGATAAGCACTTTGTAAGAACAGTTTGAGTTGGAGGATGAATCCACTCTAACGCACATGATGTCCGTGTTGCTCATCCGCCCTCACACCAATTTCACAGATCTCTGAAGTACTCCAGAATCTGAAATTTTTTCATCAGAACATTATTTTGTGTACTCTAAAATGGGCAAAAATTCTCACAGCTTGCATATTTGTGGTGTCTTTTGCCTGTGAGAATTCAGACCATGCCTTGGCTAAGAGAGTTTAGCTGTCTGGAGCTGGATGTGTAAGTGCAGACATTACACAGCTTTCAACTTCTGATGTGCCCAGAGCTTCACTTCCCCATCCAGTGACTGAGCTTTGGGCTGGCCACTGAGTGAGGGACCCTGAAAGGTAGGAAGTAAGCAGTGGCGTGGGTCAGGAAGGCCTCCCTGTACGGACACTTCGTGTGGCACGTGTGCAACACCAGCTGAATAGGCGTGGCTGTGCGCGCAGGGTGACCGCAGAGGTGGCCAAGGTCACCGGTTCTGGGAGACACATTGTTTCCTGTCATAGCATCTCTGAGAGCAGAGTGAGTCTTCCGCTGACATACTGCACTAGATGGAGTACGGTGGGCGAGAAATGAGTAAACATCTGGACGTGAGTGGGACAGATGCCTTTGGCAGGGGGTCTTCTTCCTCTTCCTCCTCCTCCTCCCCGCCCCATCCCCGTGATAGACATTCATGTACAGGGAAATCAAATATTTCAACAGTTCACAAAGGCATACAACGACAAAAACAAAGGCTAGTCGTCTTTTCTGCCCCTCCCCCACCCCATTCCATGCTAGTAAGCATCTTAAGAGTGGTTCATAATCCGGAATGGACATCAGAATCCCAGGGGTAGGGGTGGGGGGTGCTCGGAAGACACAGCCTCAGGCCTGGTCCCTGAAGACTGGGCTCTGAGGACAGGCCTCTGCCAGGCTCCACACGTGGTACAGGTGTGCGCCGTCAGCCTGTGCCGCTGGGCCACGCAGGCCGCAGCTCACTGTCGGACGAGCTGGGCTGGTGCTGAGGCCGTCTTTGAGGAGCTTCATTTTGCTAGTAGAACCGTCCTTAGAAATTGTTAACAAGTCCAGGGTAGCAGGGCAGAGAAAAGTTCTTATGTGATAAGAAACGGTTGGAATGAAGGGCGGTGTTAACACTTTGTTAAACAAAAGCTGATGATGTGTTTATTTCTTAATTTGAATATTCTGCATCAAATTTGTTAAATTATGTGATATAAATTTGGAGCATTTTGAAAAGAAATCCTGAGAACAAGTGAGAGCTGTAGTGTCACTTCTAAGGTAGCTTTTTGTTTGTTTCCTTCAAATAAAATCTCGAGTAGCTTGGGCTTTGCAAAGGCAACTCTGTTCCTCTTCTTCTCACAGATGGCTCTGACTCCAGAGATAAGCCAAAGCTCTACCGCCTTCAGCTCAGCGTCACTGAGGTGGGGACAGAGAAGTTTGATGACAACTCCATCCAGGTGAGCGGGCCTGTGGTGGCTCTGGCCGTCTCGGTAACTGGGAGTCACGCACAGTACAGTGCCTGCCAGGTGGTGGGGCGTGAATGGAGGAAGGAAAGAGGAGCGAATGAATTGATGTGGAAACCTTATATTAGATACAAGTATTTTGTCTAGTCTGGGCTACTCTGCTCTGCCTTGGTGTGAAGAGCAGTGTGCGTTTGTATCCAAGCTCCACCTCTAGAAGTGGACTGGTGATCCAGTTCCTCCGAGACCGTTTGCTTTTCTCTAAAGGTGGCGACAACTGTTGTGTGCGTCTGCTTTCAGGATGGAGGGCGTGATAGCCAGTGTGAGTGTGCCCGTCACTGGGTCTGACACTCAGTCGTAGGCCTTCAGAAAGTCACAGTTAAAATGTCAGTCGAATGCATCTCAGCCACCTAAAACAGAACTTAACAAACTCTTTTGAGCAAGTAAGGTGGGACTTGAGTTGAGTCAAGTTGAACTCGCAGGTCTCTGTACTCTGTGCTGCTGGTCTCTCAGACAGAGCGTGAAGGTCATTTCAGTTCCTGCACGGCTGCGTTCTTAGCATAGCGGTAAAGCAGACAGGAACTTTTAATCATCGTAATCTATAGATTAAACCATTCACTAACTAAAACATGTTTGTTAAGATGATGGTACACTTTTTAGTGGGAAGTTAAAATATGCCTTAAGTCACTGGATGATAAAAATAAAATGTTTAGTTATTCTGACATTATTTTGATAGTGCTTAATTATTTTGATACAATTCGGGGAAGATCCACACACACCCACACACACACACACAGAGGCACTGAAACTCCAGTGTTTATTATGTTTGTCTTAGAAGGGAATTCACAGTTTTAAAGTTCTGGTTTTACATATTATGTGCTTGATGATGGAAGTTCCTTTGGCTTCTTGTATTTTCAGCTCTTTGGCTCAGGAATCCAGCCTCATCACTGTGACCTCACAAACATGGATGGTGTCGTGACTGTGACCCCGAGAAGCATGGATGCCGAGACGTACGTGGAGGGCCAGCTCATCTCAGAGACCACCATGCTGCAGAGTGGCATGAAGGTCCAGTTTGGATCACTGCACGTGTTCAAGTTCGTGGACCCCAGCCAGGATCACACTATTGCAAAGAGATCTGTGGATGGGGGTCTCATGGTCAAAGGCCCCAGGCACAAACAGGGGTAAATACTGCAGATAAGCTTCAAGAATTTTTGAGTGTTGGGATTATGCTTAAAGTAGTTTTCATTAGGAACAGATGGCTTATTTTTTGTTTTGTTTTTTAAAAATCAAAGTCGGGGGTGTGCTTCTGGCTCTTACTGATTTGGGGTGGTTCTGGTTCTTATTCTTCTTATTGATTTGGGCTGGAAAGAAGAGGACAGAAAGACCTTTACTTCATCATCCTAAAATTGGAACTTCTGGCTGGTCGTACAACTGTTTTTATTTTTATTTTTAGCTGATACTTTAAAACACTTTATTGTTCTTTGTGAAGAATTACGCTGTTTTATGTAATTATCCCGTCTAAGTAGGACGTTTTTTGAGGTTTTTTTTTTTTTCCTCCTATCGGTGATAATGAAACATACTAAGATCTGTCTCCTCTAGTCTCCATGTGATCAATACTGCAGATTCTCTGTGCTCATGGAGAAGATCATGTTTGTCAACAGAACATGTAGTTGATTACTGTAGAAAACTGGAAAAGCACACACTGCCTTCCAGTGCCCTGGGGGGCAAAATCTGTGAAAGTCTCAGGTCCAGGAAAGTCTTCTGTTCTTTGCCTTCTTCTCCTAAACGTGCATGTTTGCACATGCACACACATGTGACACACGTCGTGTGCTCAGAGCCTGTACGTCTAAGGTGATCTGTTTTTATAAAACACTGCTGTGAAAGTCAGCTCAGTAAGGACTCCAGGGTGTTTGGGCTCCACCTAGTGCCTGTCTGAGGCCTTGCAGCGTGGGCCTCTTCCTGGAAAACAAAGATCTTTTCTTACTGTCCTTATCTAGTAACACTTTTTTGGGGAGGGAGTAAGATTTCCACTTTGGTAATGTTAAGTTTTCAGAAGTAAGAATGTACTATCTAGCGACTTGATTGTCGGTCTTGCAGGTGGATAGGGCACCAGCGGTGGGAAGAACAGCTGCAGGGGCTCTCCCCTCACTGCAGGCATACCTCTGCTGAGGGGTCAGCCCCAGGCCGAGGCTCCAGGACCCCAGACGGCTTTGCTCAGAGCTTCACCTTAGGGCCGGGTGTCAGGGCCAGGTGTCAGCCCCGGCCTGAGACACGCAGACTGGGTGCAGCAGTCTTACCTGCAGGGCCCCTCACGGCTTTGCTCAGAGCCTCACCTGTGGGTGAGGTGTCAGCCCCGGCCTGAGACACGCACACAGACCTGGTGCAGCGGTCTCCTTGCAGGGCCCCTCACGGCTTTGCTCAGAGCCTCAGCTTTGGGTCAGGTGTCAGCCCGGGCCTGAGACCTGCGCAGACTGGGTGTGGCGGTCTCCCTGCAGGGCCC